TTTTTTTTTTTTTTTAACAAAGCTGTTATATAGGTTTATAGTCACTTATTCTACTGTCTCAAAGGATATACATATTAGTAATAAATATATATAAATATTATACCAACTATTTTTATTGTGCTAACTGCAATAAAAAAGATATAACATTTTATTAAATATTTTAAAATAGTTGTATAAACACTATAAACTGACAAAGTATTCAAGGAGATATTTTTTAAAAGTTCTACTGCACAAGAACAAGTGGCAGCAGTTATTTATAATGAAGGAGAAAAAGGAGAACAATAAAATGAAGATAAAGCCAGACTGTACAACTATGAAACAGTACAGTGGTATATGAAAAATTCATATCGTACGGGAAACAAAAACCGCTGTAACAGATCATCCGGTATATCGCTCAGGAGTAGTTCAGAAGGTTAAGGTTAAGGTTTTCCACCATCAACATCTGTCTATTATGGCAATACAACAACAGAGTTTAAAGCACATGGCTGGCATAAAGAGGAGGTACATGAACACAGCACGTAGAGGTGACTGTAGAGAGGGGTGTGTGTGTGTGTGCGTGTGTCTACAAGAGGGACACAGAGTGAGAGTGAGTCAGATTTTTTCCTTGTGTCGGATGTGGTAGCTTTGCACGCTGCTGATAAGTATGTCAATACATCTTACATGGCATCAATAACCACACAGACTGTGTGTCACTCAGTTGGTTAGGGGGTTGGCACGCAGGCACGGTGTGAAACCGAAAAACGAGCACGCAAACGCAAACGCAGGGATGGAAATAGCAAAAGAAAAAAGAAGCAAGGGAAAAGGAGGCAAAGAGGGTATAAGAGGGCAGGAGAAAGCGAGAGAAACTGAAAGCATGATTGGTGCAAGAGCCAGAAGGAGGGAGTGGAGGTGGAATAATTAGAAAGGAGGGCAATCAATAAGGTTCCCACAGAGAAACACTGATGCCTCAACTGGCTAATGGATTCCAGACGGCTCTGTTCTCCTTCCCTCCCCCTCCTCCCCCCGTCTAAACCTCCCCCCCCTCCGCTGCACACAGAGAGCGATGGAGAAAAGGATACTGCGGGAGAAAGAGGTGCGGGGTGAGATTAAAGGCGAGGCAAGAAGAGGAGGATGGCGTGTTGTGGAAGGAGGGAGAATGGGATCTACGAAGAGATGAAGTGCGAGGATTTAGAGGTGGATCTACGGAGAGGAGAGGAAGGTGAAATTGGGGAGCAG